GGGCATATTTTGGATATTTGAAGAATGCCGAGGGACAGCTGATAGAAGACGGCTATCCTGTTTGCAGCACGTGCAGAAAAAGTGTCTGTGAAAGGCAGCAACGCTTCAAATCTCATGACACATCTGCGTGACCATCACCCACAACTCTACAGTCAACGCAAGGCAAGCTAACGTTAGCGTTTTAGCTAAAATGCGTGATCCGAGGATTTGGGTTGAGGGAGAATGCAACGAGTCGCTATATAAAGCAGCCGCAGCGCCGCTACCTGCATATAAACCGTGTTGCAGACACCGCCATGTTGAAATGACGCTATGCATTACGGGGCTCCCAGGGGCAGATAAGAGTTGGTCTCTCTACGAGAATAATTATGAATTTAACAACGATTACTGCCTGATGACATTTTCCCACATCTGCAGAGCTCACTGGAAGGACACAAACCGAGGACAATATTTTCCTGATATAGGGTTTATTACTCAAGTAAGGGTAAAAAAGTATCTGATTAGAAGGCTACTTGAGTACTGAGTATCATCTGGTCTAATATTTTTTAAATGATGACATCAAACAGACATAAAATAAGAAGTTATGGGCAAATATTGGTATTTTAAAGACTAAAGGGAAAAAATGTAAACAAATAAACAACAACATTACAAAATAACACATTTTAGGCCAAATTCAGACACAAACAGGACAATATTTCGTGATATACAGGGTTTATTTAATTTTGTGAAAATGTAGCACGTTTAAAAAAAATACTGCGATAATACCGAAAACCGTGGTAATTTTGGTGACAATAACCGTGAGGTTAAATTTTCACACCGTGACAACCCTAATACAGACCATTTTAGATTAGGCTACATTTCCTTTATTCCCAGATTATGTAGTTTGTAGCACTCATTATAATGTTGTAGAAAATTTCTGGCCAATCCACGTGATCGGTATCGGTGATCAGCATTCTTTGATATCGGTATCGGTGATCGGCAGCAAAAACCCTGATCGGTGCATCCCTACTCTAAATAAAGTAAAATTTTCTAGTGCAGATTGGAGACAACCCATAGAAGCACTGATTTGATCTCATTTCAGAGAAAAATAGAACAGGTTAGATGCACCTAATAAATAAAATTACTAACAAACTCAGGAATCTGTTTCTTTACTTCACTGTTCTGGTGCTGAAAATATCACTAATGCAGATCAAAGGAGATACACAGATGAATGCACCTCTTATTTATTATTTGGAGACTACATTTACTGCAGCTGGCAGAGGCAGACATTGTTTCTATTGATACACAAATTTACAGAATCATTTTAATTGTTAATAGGGGAAGACTGCAGGAGGGAGCGGTAAAATACAGGGGTCCCCAGCAAAAACAAGAAACTTTACGAGTCTGATGAAATCCGCTGGTTTTCCATCAGGCAGTCACGGGGCAGCTCCAACGACCCAGTGGCTGTGCTGGGTCAATGTTATCGAGCTCAGTCCGGCTCGGCCGTGAACGAGCCGAGGCGACGTCATGCTCTGCTTAAGAAGAGGTGTTATTTTCCCGCTTTAGAAGAAGCGTCCAACGTGTTTTTACGATTTCTCCGAGACATGTCACGTCGCTAAGTTGTTAGCGCCGCACGCTAACACGTCAATAGTGCAGCGTAGCCTGCTGGAGGTTTTAAGGGTTCAGATGAAAACACCCAACCTCTCACGCTGCTCACGCATCGATCTTAAGTTGTCGCTGTTGCGCTCACGCCGTAATACAGTATTAGATGTGGCTAAAGTCAGACATGAAAAAATAAATAAATTTTACATGAATAAGTGATGCTTAGCCTGGTGGGGGGAGAAAACCCTGTCAAGATCGTCAACACTCGTTTATCTTAATGCTATTGAAACATGTGAACCAAAAAGCATTATATCCACTGCTACCTTTCTAATTTTAAACTCAGTAACTTATGCTGTAACTTCACCTTGCCCTGCCTGCTCCTTGCTGCCCGCCGGCTGTGATCACAAGCGACAACATAACAGTTCCCGCTGCTTCTTCGGGAAACAGTGCCAAAAAAAATTAAAATAAAAAAATAAAAAACTTGGGATCTTGTAGGCGTGGCGGTGGGATTTCAGCTGTGGTGGGCCGCCACGGCTACGCCTATGTAAGGGAAACCCTGATGATCTAAGCCTCATAGGTTAATCTGATTGGTCATTTTCGGAATCTCCACTGAATAGCAACAGGGTGATTCCAGTATGCAGATTTAACTCTACAGTGCTAAACTATTGACTACACGTGTCTGCAGCACAATGATTTGTGGGTGACTTGCTCTTTAAGTTAGGTGAATCTGCAAAAACTTGAAAGTGGTGGTGTGTGTTTTCCCTAGGGGTCTGTACAAACCTAAATAAATGCAAGCAAGCTGTATTTTTGTGTTCAATTAGAACCAGCGGATGGGCATTAGGGTCCAAAATCCCTTGGGGTGCAAGCTGGAGAAAAATGACAAGCACATAAGACTCTGTTTCCTCACTGGTTACAAGCAAAGAGGTAAATGTGTAAAACAACAATGTTTATGAATGGCAAACGTTTTGTAACTATTTGTTAAAAATTAAATCAAATCACTTTTATTGTCACGTCACATGTGCAGGTACACTGGTACAGTACATGCGTGTGAAATTCTTGTGTGCGAGCTTCACAGCAACAGAGTTGTGCAAAAATTATTAAATGCATTGTTTTCATGAGCTCCCGCAGAAGGAAACATGGTGTTTAACAGGGGTTGTATGAACTAGTCAACTAGTCGACTTCATCGCTCTATAGTGACTTGTTATGCCTGTCACCGCTAGTAGCTGTCAGGTGATAATGACCGGCAAGATGCAGTCCACGGAAAAGACAGCAGCCTGCTGTCAGCAGGTGACGAGCTCCTGCGTGTCGGGAGGCAACGCGCTGTGCCAGAGCGTCGGTACTGACACCCGCCGTAAAACGGACATTTAACCAAAATGTGGAGTTTACCCTCTTGCAATTTAACCTTCCCCTCACCCCCATCCTAGCCTTAACCAGCTTGCGCATGCAAAGCTCTGATTGTTGACGCGCTCCAGACATCTGCGTCCTGAGCACGGCCACAGTAACGTTATCAAATCAGGTGTCGCCACCTCAAAAACTAATTTAACACGCGATCGTTCATGTCGGCTCATTTCCTTTTATGTTTTCTGTCTTTTATTCTTTTATTTGTGCCTGATGCGTTTCGCTGCTGTGGAGCGGGGCACATCACCTGTTTTGTCCTCGGTGACGCACCGATCACTGATGCGGCCGGCATGCACTCCGCTGTTTTTGCGGTCGGTAGATCTTTTAGAACTGCAGTTCAAAGGTAACTCATGAGGTAATCAGAAGTGAGGAACAATAAATGCAATAATTATTTTAATGTTTAGAGCAGCAGGAACTCCGAGAGGCTGCAGGCGCATCAGTGAGTTTGCGGCCGCTGCGCAGGGGGATGGGGGAGGGGGGCTGAAGCAGAAACTACCGTTGTTAAAAGAAATGTGTTTAACTTTGAAAATGTGGGAGCAATTTTAATTGTAAAAAACTCCAGCGAATCCCCTCACCCCCCCCCCCACACACACACACACACACACACACACACACACACACACACCGCGTCACTTCAGGTGTATGACGTCATCAACGACTAGTCAAAGTCGACTCGATTTTCATTACTCGACAGTCGACTTTAAAAAAAAATTACGTCATGCAGCCCCTAGTGTTTAATATGGCGTCACCCAGGGGTTTAGACCCGCTCCAGTGTGATTTGGACCAGCTTTTATGGTTATAGGTTATGTAGCTGCCAATATTTTTCAACAACTGGGCTTCATTTCTTTCACTTTCAACAACATTTCAATGGATATTTCCAGAGATTAATGGTACAAACTACACATTGCAATAAAACAACTCAGGTACAAAACAAAAAAGTATTAGCTCAAGAAACTCTCCATCAGTTGTGACACCTTCATCCAGTACTGTTCATATATTTGAATTTTGTGTTGAACACACCCAGCATGAATCACAGAGTGAGTGCCCCAAAGCAAAAAGCAATGCATGAATCAAAAATGAGATCACATGATCAAATCTAGCTAAAATACAGAAAGATGAATCTCAGGTATCACTTCTGCTAACTAGCTGAAATACACCACCTTCCCCAGATCGATATGATTCTTCATTTGGGAACCACTAAAGTCAATATATCTTTGTGTGCCAATGTGACTTGTAGATGTTATAAGTGAAATATTTGACCTACTGAGGACTACAGAGGGAAATATCACCAAAGTCATCAGGGTTTATCCGTTCAGGACCAAGAATGTCAGCGGAAAAAGCCAAAACAGTCCATCCATCAGTCTGGATCAGATTGGGGAACCGACTCTCAGTCAAGCTGCTAGCATTGCTGGAATTGAGCTCTCGCAACCAAAGACATTTTTAACTTGTAACCATCAACAGGCGACTACATGAACCAGCTGTCAGTGCACAGCCTTAATTGAATTTGATGAGCCATGAACAGACAGTGGAGAAATGTAGACTCTCACTGAAGGTGGCCAGGAAGTAAGTCAAAACTGTTCCCATTAGTGCTGCTTTTTTATTCCATTGATAAACTACTCTTTTGATTTCTGGAATATTTTTGCAGCTGCCAATTTTGAAAGTCATCACACCTCAGAACATAAATACTTTACTTGGAATTGGTCCAGTCTAATGGTCCAGAGGTTTTCCAGCTCCGGAACAAAACCAAAAGGCTTTTTGTCAACTTTCGCTGTCTATACTTTCCCAGACGCTGTAGTGTTACATAAAAACCCACCATGCTTTTTATGTGTGCTCTAATTCTCCTCGCTACATGTGCCATAAATTAATTCAGCAGTCTAAAAAGTTACATCTAACACATAAACGGGGGAAGCAGTGGTACTACGCCTTTATGACAGTTATGTCTAAGGAATACTAAAGCATGAAGCCATGACAGCTTAACTCTAAAGTGTCACTTAGTGCATTTGAAACAAAAAGGTCGGTTCTACCTTTGCGAGCAATCCGTATGCAATTTATTCTGGTCTCCTGTGGATGAAAGAAAAGCTGAGTTAATCCATTGATATGTTCAAAATAGGTTCATAAAAGAAACATCAGTGACACTCGTATTGTGGGTAAACGTGATGAAAATACCTGCAAACCTAAATACCTTGTTGAAAAGGTGTTATTCATAGAAATTGTCCTGTTATCCACTGGGAGAATAGAACATTTAGATTGTACCATGGTTACCCTAACCTAAGACCCGTCACCTTTGTTTGCTGATTGGCTTCTCCTCTTGCTATGATGATCTATCTCTTTCTTGCCTGGCAAGTCATCCCATAAATGTAGACGTAAAGGATGGCCATGAGCCTTTAAAACCATCCAGTCGTCGAACTGCGTCCGCATCCAATTGGACCATGTTTGGACTGATCCGATCAATGTGATGTGTTCATCGTTACAGATGACAGTGAACAGAGCAGTCTGTCATAAACTGTCAAAGAAGAAAATACACCCTTTATGTTTTTTTATTGACTTCAGTACGTCCATCTGCTCATGTCTCAAAGATAAGCCAAAGTCCATCATTCAAAGTTGATGCCAAAGACGTTTCAAGCAAGCGTCGGTCATGAGCCGATGCCATCTTAGGCTCAATCTCAGGACTCGCACTGCACCCTTTGGTCTTCAGCAAAGTGCACTTGGAGAAAGTGCACTTTGGCTTTGAGTGCGTAGTAAACAAGTGTGCAAATAACTGCCGAATTGAGACAGGCAGTGTTGCGTCATCGATCGCAATGCATGCCAGGACGCTGGTTGATGTGATACTTAAAAGAAAAAAAACTTTATTAACTACTTTCAAACCAACAACCAAACAATTATATGAAATAAATGTACATTCATTGCTGCTTTGTTTAAAAATTCAGAGCAACAACTAATCCCCCTAATATGAACTAATTTCATTACAAAATACCAGAGGTGGAAAGTAACGAAGTAGATTTACTCACGTTACTGTAATTGAGTAGCTTTTTTGTGTATTTATACTTTTTAAGTCATTTTTTAAATCTGTACTTTTACTTTTACTTGAGTAAGTTTTGTTAAAAAAATAGTAATTTGCTACATTTTAAATTATATCCGTTACTGAGTACTAATAAATTATAGGCTTAATAAATTAAAAACATTACGTGTAGCAGCGTCGGAACAGAAAGAGATACCTGCATGAGTGCCGCGTCTAAACCTCGGGGGGGGGGTACACTTCTGCTCAAAAACATCCGTTCAGTCCCTCAACTCGCTGTTTACCTCCTCTCTCCCTCCTCTCCTGTGGGTTGGAACCCGCACCTTCACACACCGGTGTGACGTCATCAGAATTTTGCTCGGTTCGGTAGCCAGAATCGGTTCCGTGTTTGAAATGTGTTTCTCTACCGCTCCGCACGGCAGCGGCAAAATAACATTTAGCGCTCATAACAAGCAGATTATCAGCGCTCTGCTCATAAAACAGAAGACCTGCAGGCCTCCGTGAGTTAAAACATCCTGATACTGTTCAGGTGTAAACATTGTGCTGCATTGCACCACAGTCACCAATTCTTGTCATGTGTCTTGCCCAGTAAGTCTGATCTTTGAATTGTGTGTACTGAAACTCTAATTTCCCTTCCCTGGGACAAATAAAGCTTTTCATTTCATTTTTCTTTTCATTTCAGACGCTGTTGTTGATTTAGCATCCAGCAAACAGTAAAGAATGTCTCGACTAGTAGAAGCTAACAGTTAGCATTAGAAACTCCACCACATGGCAGAACTCCTTTAGTCTTGTGTTATTAATGGAGATAAAACATCAACATTGCAAAGGAAATGAAGTCAGTGGTAGAGCTGAGTTGCTGTTAGCCAATCAGAGACAAGATGTCCAAATGTCAGGAAATAAAACTCCAAATCCTGCCGTGTCCTGCTCACATCTTCTCTGGCTCACTTTTAGCTCCTGAAACAGAAGCCCCAGAGTCCCCCCCCCCCCCCCCCCCCACACACACACACACAAACCGACTCACAAGACATTTATTAACACTAGAGACCACTGCAAATGTGTTGAAAAAAACAGGTGAACTTGGTCTTTAAGATGCTGAGCCTAACATGTTCTCTCTTGAAACAGACTTACAGTGTTAAGCATAAAAAAACTATGATTACAGCTAAACGTGGTTTAAAACTGTAAGATTAACAGCAAAAACAAAACATATTCAGAACATAGGTTTGATTACAGACATGGCATTGGTTGGAAAAAGGATGAAAAACTGTTGCCACCTATTTTAGGTGTAAAAATGGACTGACCCTCATCAGAGAAAGAAAACAGAACTTGACTTTTTATGTCTTGGTGGATCAAATTATGTCCAGAAATAAAATAAAAGTTAACTGAACTCAAAAATCTAGCAGTTTAACCAGTTAAGACCTTAATCACAATATCAGGGAGTAAACTGAACTGAAACACACATAGATGTGTGATATCTTACATGCTGTGGGAAGCAAAATCAACATGCAGTTATATATTTATGTTTACCATAGTGGAGTTCTGCTGCAGTAATCTCTGCTTTTCAACAGAGCAGACGTGACAGGAAGAAAAATTACATGGAAAAGTGTGTGTTTGTTTCCCGCATGTGTGTTTTCACGAGAAGCTGGATACACCAATCATGCATCTTTCAAGCCCCACTGATGGCATATTTGCCAAAGCAATTACTGTTTCAGTACAATAGCGGCTCGTGGTTCACCGTAGGCCTCGCACATCTAATTCATCCAGGGTAATTGTCAAAATAATTAGTTTCTTCTCTCCACGCCCCGACTGAAAAAAGCCAATTTTTCCCTGAAACACAAATTTATTTTAGAAAATAGATCGACGGTGAAAATGTTCGGAAGTTTAGAAAACAGCAACAGTCTCATGAGAAACCGCTGCTCACTGAGTCCATGATGAGAAAAGCTCAATGCAGATTCCACATCAAACAGAGATTTCAATACAGTTTAGTGTAAATTGTGCCTTTTGTACCCTGAAAGATAAAGATTGTTGTTTTGTGTCTCCTGAGACCCACTCAGCAAAACCCAGAGGACACTGGCTCATTCTCGGAGGACTCGCACATCTTGATACTGTTGATATCAAAATGAAAAGCTGCACTCAGCTGGATCCACTTAAGCTTCTTATTGGCTCCACACAGTACTCACTTCTGCTACGTGTGAAAGTCTGACTGAAATTGGCAAGCTGCTTTCAGTTCATTCTAGAAATTAAATAAAAATCATAATTGTATTATTACAATGTACAAAAAACATTGAGCAAACCAAATAAGTAAACAATATCTGGCATTTATGATCACATTTAGCCACTCTATCCTATCTGGTAATAAAGCTTTGTTTAAGCTGAATCTTAATGGTTCCTACCCCTCTGAAGTTGCTGGTGGCTTGGAAGTAGATGAGGTAGTTCTTGGTGGGGTCTAAAGGGCTGTTCCAGTAGCCGTTGTAGGTGTGGTTGTCACCCACGGTGAAAGGCGTGGCCTCGGGCAGACTGCTGGGCGTCAGCTCAGCCGTGTAGTAGTGTGGGGACCCTTTAGCCTGGGCCTCGTTGTGTGAGTTGGGAGTAGGAAAACAGTCCACGGTGCCCAGCTCCCTCCGCCTCACCTGACGGGACCCATCCTCCTCCACCACCACCACCTGGTAGGCACTGGGATGGGAGAAGGTGAGGATTAGTACTCCATCAACATCCATCAACAAAGAAGAATCCAACACTTGACCATTTTGGTCTTTTTTTATTTGTTAATGTATCAGGATATGTTTTTGGTTTCTTTCGTTATGATAAATGTCGGGTTGTCTTGGGAAAAAAAGCTCTCTCATAGTAAGTACTACAAGTGGAATATGACACCTTTTAATAAAAAGCTATATTTTTTTTATATAATGGTTCACGGGGTGTTTAGAGGTGTGTAGAATGAAAGTACAGTAATTCCTTTAAAAGCTATATTTAAGAAAAAATAGATATCAACCATTTATTTCGACGGGCAAGACACTACCAGCCAATAGAGGGCGCTATTGCGGGTTCCCAAACAGTCCGCTGGGCACAGCGAGGCTGGTGCTGTAAAGAATGGTGGATCTGGCAAGTCAAGCAGCAGCTTCTGAGCCCAGACGATGGAATTATTCTTCTCAGAAGTGGGACAGCCATAAATGATGTAAAACCAGAGTGAGTTTAGCTGGAAACCTTGTTCTACTGTTGCTACTATAACCTCCACACACTAGATGTCGCTTTGGTGTCCGTGTTCCATATTCCACATTTGAGTAAAAGCAGCTCTAAATAAAAAAAGTTTTTTTTGTTAAAGGTGTCCAGACCATCAATACAATATAAGAATAGAGGAAGTTAGTTAAAAAGTGGAGGAAAGGGTGATCACCTTGACTTTTTCATCTGGTCTTTTGAACCTATTCTGCTACTTGATGGTATTAAGTAAACACAAATATAATCTGATGAAATTTTGATGGGTGAATCTATCATTTCAGACATGGATGGTTGGTAACATCGTTGGGTAGACTTACTTCTCTCCAAACAGAACATTAGCAGTTTAGTTGGAGGTGTGTATAAAATGTCTGTGTGCCCTTTTGTAAGACAACATCCCCCCACATAACCCCCGATACTGACATAAATGCATGACTGCAGGGGAAACGGTGCAGAACTAATGAATGATTTTTAACCAACATGGGTTTTTTGCTCATGTAAAAACGTGATTATAGTTGAGTTATTATAGAAAACCAAATCGTAGGTGAAATCAAGATTCACCTTTTGGACAACAGACATTTTAAAATAATCCATATGTAATTAAGTCTTTAGATGGGCTCAAACACTGCAGTGGCGTAAGGAGGGAACCTGTGGATATGAATTATTGAGCAGACTACGGTCAGTAACTTGTAAATGAAAAAAAAACCGTTTAAAAATGTTTAAATTTGATCCATATTTAAACAGGTAATAATGAAAACAAAAGTCGAAATACTGCTGTGTGTGTTAACACATGATGATAGCATCGGATTAAATATGGGTAATACTATTAATACCAGCTCTTATGAGCACTGTACACTGCGTGTTAGGAAACAAATACTTTTATTTAAATTATGGTGGATTTACCATAGGTCAAAATGTGTTATATGCCTGTTTATTGTTCACAGGGAAAATTAAAATGATTAACCCTTTGATGCATAATGGTCACTGCAGTGGACAGGTACTCAAAACTGTTATTTATTTGTTTTTGCTATTAAGCACAGCTGTTGAAGACTTTATTGCATGTGAGCCCCTCGATTTGGACTTCAGTAAGCCAAGCCAACATATTTCATGTTCAGAATGCACGCTGTCCACTGAGGTGGACATGTAATAAATTATTTGTAAATTATAAAATTTTACAAAAAATATTTGTTGAAATTTGTTTCATTCACACCTAAAGACCAATGAAAAAAATTGTTAAAAAATCATGGTTGAAGATTTCATAATTCATGCATGAAAGGGTTAATAATTTCATTTAAATATGTTTAATAACTCAAAAATTAAAGTAATTAGTTGAATTATTTGGTTTAATTTTTTATTTAACCTGTACATTATTTAGTTTACCATAACATGTTTTTTGTTATTTTTGTTTTAATAAACTGTTGATCTTTCATTGCTCAATACTGTCTAGTCTGACAAAGCCTCACCACATAAACATTAAACCTGACTCAAAAACATCCAGTTCAATTAAAGGATGCAAGTTGTTTTTGAATTTTTCTCTAAATCCTGCTTCCAGGCTACAATTGATGTGTTGGCTGGTTACAATGAAACAGCGATCAGCAGCTGTCAGCATCTAATTAGCTGATGTATGTTGTCATTTCTATGTAACCTGATGCAACGACTTCCTATCCGAATAGAAAAAAGATGCAATGGGACAGCGTTCATTGGTTCTGCTGTTGCAGCGCTGCTTCAGTTAAGTGTTGTGACAGGACCAAGAACTAATTTTATGACTTGAAATGAAATAGAAATAATTAAAGGGACTATAAGGAAGTTTGAGAGCCAAAACATGTATAGAAATAATAAATGTCTTCTTCATACATTCTCCTGCAATGCCCTGGTCCTGTAGAATGAGCCCTGGCATTTTTACTGTGATTGCCTGTTTTTCTGTAAAACCATGGAAAAAGAGAGCTGCTCGGGTCGAGCAGGCTGCTTCATGCACGTTCACGCTCAGGCATCGCCCGTAGTAGGGCTGGGCGATATGGCAAAAACACAATATCACAATTTTTCCAATATTTTATCACGATTTCGATTTTATCACGATTTTTTTATCCATGAATAGCATAACTTCTAACACACTTATATTTTAAACTCACACCAGAGATGATAAAAGCCCTGAGAGAAACAATTACAAAAATCAGTTTTTCTCGTTTTTCAAGTAACTTAATATAAATTAAAATCGTAAACATATTTAAAGTGCAAACATGTCAATTGCAAACGTATTGTGCAAACATTAACTTGTTCAAAATACTATGTAGCTCCCAGTTGCTCATGTAGTGGATAGTTAAGCTCAAATACGGCTCTGATGTGCGGCTGGACCAGAGATCGCTTGTGGTAGCAAATAACTGCGCATTCTGAATATTTTCTGCAACTCTCACTTTGCATTCAGCGTACATGCGTGGAATGGCGGTGTTCGAAAAATACTTGCGGCTAGAAAACTCGTAGCGCGGATCCAATGTTTATATCATGTTCTTAAATCTCACTCCTACTGTTCGCACGGGACACAAATCTTTAACCAAGTGGTACGTCACTGCATCTGCCACGCTGTTCCATCGTCTGCTGTTTCTGTCGTAGGGAGTGAGTTTTGTGAGTGTTTCTGTTAGCGTTTGCTGCCTGGAAGAAGCACTAGCCGCTGTAGCCGCAGGCTTTTTAGCTTTAGCTGCCAGCTGGCTCTCATTGTATTGTTTGGGATGCTTTCTTTTCAAGTGATTAAACAAGTTTGTGGTGTTGCCATCACTTGCCTTGACGCTCTCCTTGTAAATGACGTTTCGTTGCTCTTTGTCGTCTGGTGAAAAACCAAACCAGTTCCATATAACGGACGAGGCGTTCCTCTTCGGAACGAAAACCTCGCTGTCGCTCTCAGCCGCAGCCGAAGCCATGTTTGTTCACACACAGGTGAAAACAAGCGGGGCACTAATATATTACTCTGACTCACTCTGATTGGTTAAGGGTCAAACAAAGGCGTGTCATTCGCCGGAGGTAAGTTCCTTTTTCATTCAGAGGCAGAAATTCAACAGCAGAGCTGTGAATCGTGATAAAAAGGTCTCTCAAAAATGACAGACCGTCAGATGTGTAGATCGTAAAACGGTCTAAAATCGTCATATCGCCCAGCCCTAGCCCGTAGCATTTGCTATCCGTAGCATTAGCAGCAGAGAGTGAGGTAGTGCCAACTCAGCAACTTTGTCGCTGTTCCTAACACCTAGTGACGAACCTAGCTACATTTCTGAGGACACTTAACCCCAAAATTCCACTACCTCCGCTCCGGCACGAACTCCGCAGCAAAATCGGTCCTGTTGTAGTCAATCAGAGCTGTTCCACTACTGCGGCCGTGCGACGCCGTGCGCCACCCGCCGTTCTGCCATCCGGCAAAAATAGAATCGATCCTATTTTCACCGGACGCCGGAGCACCTCCGCAGTCAATGGACAGAAATCACAACCGCCCAACAGGAAAGGGAGCAAGCACAACTTCCGTTATTTCACAAATCAATAAACAAAAGGCGTTTTTTGTTTCATATGCACAGGTTTAACAACTTTTAACAACTATCAATGGCGGCTGAACTTTAAATGCACAAAAATAAGCCATAAATACAGTTTCCACTATCAAAGTGCTCACCCTTTGTTGATCTAAACACTGCTGATCTCTCAACACAAATGATGGGCAGATTAAACAGCTCATTTCGATGCTTCTCCCACACAACGGGTGTTTGGATCTAACTTCTGCGTTTATTGCTCAGACTGTATCGCAAGATCTCGAAAATCCTGCGCGTGCTTGTTTGTGCACCTCAGGTCTCCGCACCGGAGCGGAGCCGTTGTAGAGTGGGTACAGTATAATTTGAATTCAGAAGCGAGCGGCAGCGGAGGGCGGGGGCGGAGCGGAGATAGTGGAATTTTGGGGTTAGCTACTTTCTGTAGAACTTTCTTCTAGATATTTCCTGCAAATTAGCAACAAAATAGCCATTTTTGCTCCGAACTGTTCTTTGGATTGACGTTGTTTCAGTTGTCATCAAGGACATAAAAGTTACAGATACATCAAAAGTTACTGGCACGTAGCTCACCTTGTAAGATGTCTGACTTTCATGCAGAAGGCCTGGGTTTGATTCTGGGTGTGAACATAGTTTATTTAGAGTTTCTTTTTTACATTATTGGTATATTTTTTTTACAGTAAGATGTCCACATTTTTATTTGAGACTCGCCGAACGACATTGAATTCACAGATAAAAAAGATGTGGGTTCAACTTTCATTTTGGAACAATTTTTCAAGCAAGGGAAGGGAATGATCTGAGCATGCAGGAGGACTGACCCATCTTAAACCTTTGTCGGCTGTGCTGAAGAGAAAGGTACAGAACCACATTATTTAATTAATTAGCTGCGCGTTCTCCTGTCCTCTGTCCTCCAGGCCACACACACACACACACACAGGTGCGCGCACGCACGCACGCACACACACACACACACACACACACACACACACACACACACACACACACACACACACACACACACACAGGACTGTCTCAGCTGTTATTTTTGTTAAGGAGTGTGCACGTACAGCATGCGCGCCTCGTGCACGAGCCTACTATTGAAGCTGCTGTCACACTTTTGGCCTGAGGGGGCAATGGCGAGCATAAAAATTCAAAAGTCTGAAAAGTCCCTTTAACGACATTTGATGTTGTACTTGTCTCAAGAATCATGTTATTTTGATTAGAAAAAATCTGGTTAAACCCAAGACTATAATGAGGGTGTATCTATCTCTTCTGATGACACTACTTACTGATTTACATCCATTAACACAGAAGACTTGCCACTTGGATTCACACGCCATGACACTTTTGGGGTTTATTTCACACATTTTGCTTTTGCTGTGATACACGTCAGCCCCTGATGCTCCACAAAGCTCTTATAGACTGCAGCTATAAATATCAGAGCGAGGAGGAGCGCTGAATGAGCACTGGTGTAGGTGCGAAGCATGTATTAGCTGTACCTGACAGGAGCTCCTCTCCCCAGGGCAGGGCGAAGCAGAATGGTGATGGTGCTCTCTGACTCACTCAGTGGAGATGGAATGTCTTCATAGTCGAACACTGGGGCTGAAAACAGATACGAAGGTGGAAAACCACAAAGTAGTTAGGTTGAAGAAATAAACAAGCAGACATTTTGCCAAGAGAAGCCTGGTAAACAAGTGTTTACTCTCCTGGGAAGCATCAAATAAACATTAATACTTGAGGTTTTTAGCAGGTTTGCACTGGTAGCCGAGTTTGGATATTTTACTTTTTCACCCTCACATTGAAGATAAAGTGAGATTTCTGTACTCATTACTCACACATGTCCCATGTCCCTGGCGTACTACTTTATGGAGGCCTCCCACACAGTGCCTTTGACTGATGATGACTAGAAACAGCAGCCAAATCAACAAGAGGCTGTTATAATATAATTAGGACATACCTCAGAGCTGAGCCACCTAAGTGAAGCTCTAGAGATAAAGAGGTTAAGACTTTCTATCTGCCTACAGAAAGAGATTGTGTCTGAGTATTTCTCTCCAAGAACAACATAGCGGTCCAGACCCAAACCACGTGTAATGGAACAGGAAGACGGTTTCAGAATCTCAGATTCTACTTGGTCTTGTGCTATTTGTTAGTCAAAAATACACAAAGAGCTGAGGTTTGAGCTCTAGGGAGCGGTTTGAGTCACAGAATGTTTGGTGCTTAAATCCAAGGAATTACGAAAACCTAAGAGCTGCTTTTTTATTTTGATGATTTCTACAAAACTGAAGTGGAAGCTGCCAGCCTGCTGAGCTCTTCTGATGACACAGCCAAGAGAGAACATGTAGGAAGGGGTGTACGTGTTCACAGCTGTACAGGGGGATTGAATGCACAATCATACCTTTGGGGGACAGAGGTTTGTGGGTACTTTGTGTATGAACTTGTTTTTGTAGCGTTGGTAGCAGCTAGATTACCAGTACTAAAACAACTTAGATTACTCATTTTTTTCTAAAAATCTGCAGTAAAGTAGGTTCTGATACAAATGAATGCTTTGAGTGAATCTCGGGGGTGGGGGTGGGGGGGTGGGGGGGGTCTGTTTCCAGTTTCACGAAGTAGGTTAGAGGAGTAGGGAGCTGATTGGCTAACAGTAACACAACTCTACCACTGGTTGACCCTGGTTGCTCTGCAACATAGATGTTTTATCTCCACCAGTAACACACGCCTGAACGAGTTCTGCCATGTTGTGGGGTTGCTAATGCTAACGATTAGCTTATACTTGCTAGCTCCTGGATACTTAACTCATTCACTGCCAATGACGACTAAAGTTGTCATTTGCATTTTTTTTACTGCGTAGGCGTCAGAACGAGCCCCCGCACTGCACCGAGAACAAACATCCCAGCTTTAAAGCCTATCTTCATCCGCGTATGTCACACGTCACGTGATCAGGAAGCAGAAAATCCATGTGTTAGGAGGTCGTTTTGGGTCGCTGCTGTAAAAAAAATTAAGCGTGAACCGGAAAAGCTTCTGCCGATAACAATTCGACAACGGATTATGAAAGAAGGGATAACGCTCAAAACGTGCGGATTCTTCCTGACGTTAGAGGTGAGTCTACTCTTTGTTTTGGCACTGACATCATCATACAGTAGAGCGCAACACTCTGAGACTCTTAAAAAACCAGTAAGAACGCTGGTAGCGAAGGGCTTTTCTGATCAGGAAACGGCTGGCAGTGAATGAGCTAATCAACTACAGCCTTCTCCGTCGTGAGTCAAGATGGGTGAGTCCATGAATGCTAATTTTTTATGTGCCATGCATTTGCCAGGCTTTTCTAATACAAGCATTTAGCTGTTTATTAGTTATTATTTATTTGCAGCTAATGCAGGAAAAAGATGTAAAAGACTATTTTCTTGTGTATCCCGCAGAGTGATTGATCTTGTTTCAAAGATGAAAAGTAAAAATGTGTTTTCATTGAATTTGGCCTTTAAAAAAGTACACATAATTTTGTGCAAGCTGTACACAGAATTTCTTACTAATATTATAGTCAGACCCTCAGTTATACGTAGTGAACTATAGGTCCATTGTTGCACCCCAGAGAGGATTGCTTCTGCATGTAGGTTCATTTCAACTGCTGATGGCCTTTGCTGACAGAGTTCAGAAGTTCTGAGTCGACTCCAGGTCAACTGTGGCAGGAAAACATGCGGTGTAGCAGGGTACCTCCTCCTGGACTTGTAAGCAGCACTTAAACACTTGTGAACAGCTACTTTTCAATTGTTAAACATAAAGGACTTGTTCCTCTGCAATAGAGGTAATGCACTCGTGTGATTTCCTGATTATACCCCTGACGAGTATGGCAGCCTACGACGGATAAAAACACGTGACAGCAACTACGGCCAGGCCGAACGCAGGGGCCATGTTGCCATGCCGACCAAGCCAACTGAAGAACATGCTGTAATAGTCCAACAGATTAACGTTCCTATCTTCTTGGTGTTTCGGTTCAAGTTGAACTCATACAATGTACCTTTTTATTTATCAATACCCTTCCCATGTAGAGAAATGTACAGATTCCTTCTTTTTCTTTTTCCCTGTCTTTTTTCAAACTAGTGATAATTATTAGCGACTGCCATAAAAAACCTTACTTTTCTAAACTTTAATAAGGCTGGTGACCTAAACTACACATTACATGCTCTGGTGATGAGTCACAAGTCCAACCTGCCATGACTCCTGAACACCTGGACTTCATAACAAACACATCATTTACTCCTGCTTTTACCTATGATTGGCGTAAATAATTTAAAGATATACCAAAACATTCTATTACAAACATAATTCTTATATTTAATTATAAAATATTGTTTACCTCATTGAATTAAAGAAATCACAGAACGGGATCAGCAAAGTGTCTTTATTCCTAAATTACTCGACACCCCATATTTTGCTTATTTCATGTTGGATGGAAACATTTGACATTAACATTTGTTACAGAGAAAACACGGTTAGTGATTCTGAATGATCCCTACACAGATAAAAGCGAAATCTTTCTCCTTCCCAACATGTTTTGTGTCATTTTCTACATCCATCCCCGTGATCCCTTCTCTAGCACTAACACCCAGACATCCGCACCGGCTTGGTTTGTTGCACATGGATTGTGGTGATGTGAACAAAGCTGTTTTCACCCAAACCATTCAGGCTGAACATTTGGAGTTAGTTTTCATTTGTTCTCCATCAAAAGAAGCCAATGTGCATCTGAAAGCTGCCCGACGGGGCCCGAACGATGTTAATTTGTATGATTTAGAGGTAAATGAGTATTTCAAACTAATCTTTGGAAAAACAAGGGATTATGGGTCACCACTAATGCTAGGGTCTAAGAAAAATAAATCATCATTATCCAATACATGCATTCAGTTCTACTACAGATCATGTTCAGACCTCACCCTGCTGCTGTTTTAACTCCCCTAGAGAACCCGGAGCCTCACCTGAGATGTTGGTGGTGATCTCAGTGAGCGCTGTTTGGCCAAACCCTTTTGTAGTGCGAGCTCGGACCGACACCAGGTAGGTGGTCCCAGGATGCAGGCCGGAGAACATGTGGTAGGTCTCGTTCCTTAGTTTGGACACGGTGCGGCGAGGACCCGGCACATTGATACCCGGGTCAGAGGACTCGATACTCTGGTAGCTGATCTGCAGAGAGCAAATGCACAAGACTGGGTCAAAAATCCACCGATCATCTGTGAAATGACTGCTTGTGTGATGTTAGTTTTTCTTAATTGCTAAAGCACAACTCCTGAAACCTTGCTCCCTTTTCTCAAAACATTAAACACAAAACCTCTCATGCCTCTTGCTAAATCAAACTTTCGCCTCTAAACAGTTTCAGCTGTGCTTAAAATCAAACACTTCTCTCAAATCATAAACTAATTACTCAAAATTACATTCACCATCAAGCAGTCAGTCAACAATACACCAAAAAATAGAAAGCACAAAGTTCAGGGCCATACAATTTGTTTATTGTACCATATATACAGCCTGCAGTCCATGTGCTACAGTGCTCAATGACAGTGAAAAATAAATACATAAAATGAAAAACATCTAAGGACTAAACATGTTATCAATGGGCCTCTTCTTGTCTGTGGGCTGGGTCAGGCCACAGCACTTCATCGACATCACGTGCAATGTTTTCCCTCCTGAGGCTCAAACTGGGTTGCTCTCTAAGTCCTCGTTGTCAGCCCACGGACAACAACATGGTCTATGGTCGTTGCTCAGATTTCATTGGATATTTCCACTCTTTGTCTTCCTCTTCATCCTCCTCTTTCTCTTTCTTGCCCTCCTCCTCATCCTCTCACATGAGCTCTTCTAGCCACTGTCACACGTTCTCATTCCCACCTTCAACAACCTGTTTGCTCTCTGAACTTGCTTTTATTGGTCGTCACATCATTTGAAACAAGTGAAATCTGTTTTGACTGATTGTGTTCAATCACTGACATTTGTGCTCTTGTTCTGGGTAAAAGTGTTCCCCGTGTGTTTACCGTTATGGATGACGTGTACATCAGAGTGCAGAATGCGTTTAGACTTTTGCTAGACCGTGTGAGATTGTTTAAGGTTTTGACAACAGGCTCAACAGTTAGCTTAACGAGTCTGAGCAACTGAGAACTTTCTTCAGTCGATGGATTTTAGTGTTATAGCATGAGAAATACAGTAAAATGCTTTTCCTTAGACATGGCAGATGAAGTGTCTTGCCAAAGGACACAACAGCAGAAGGAATGAACCTGGAAACCTTTGACTACTGATACCTCTGTCACCTCCTGAATGACTGCCACAAGAAGCACTGATGGGACTTTGACAGGCAGGAGTATCCGATTCCGTCTAGCATCGTATTTGTGATACAGTCAAACAATGTTCACATTACACCCCAATCAACAGAACCGTCTGTCTGCAACGGCATGTCGCATCGATTACTGAATGTAATTCAAGGGCGACATAAGGGATACTAATCGACTGTATTCTTCTTTTTTTGTTTGTTTTGCTTTTTATCAAATAGCACCTCAATGATCATCATTACTAATGTGGTTTAGCGGTAAATGAAAGCATGATGACTTAAGAGAAAATAACGTATAAAAGCATGATCTTATATCAAAAGGTTTTTGCTCAAAGCTGCATCTTCTCGTCATCATGTGTGAGTTAGGTCTTGCTCTGGCGAGATCTAACTCACACATTCTGCTGAAGGACTGATCTGACGGTCTGCTTTTTCTGCACTGAGAGGAAAATCAGCTCTTAATAGATTTCTACCAGAAGACGGAATTGTCTCTTTCATGGATCACAGGCTTTCAACAAAAATAATCAGCTTTGCTTTTCCATCTGTACTTCAGGCTCCTCTCAGATGGCTGCTGCACTATCCTCAAAGACTTTAACCATCATAAATGCAAAAGTGACACGTTCTTGTTCTGATAGAAATCTTATAAATTACCATAGCCAAATCTGTCTTCACTGAGACTTTGAGTCGTTTTTCCTGCCTGAGCCAATTCATTTTCTGATACATCAAAATTTAAAAGCTCAATGTGCTTAAACAAGGATCTATTCCAGGGGTGTCCAAACTTTGCAACACAATGGCTAAAGCTGTCACGTTAAAGGCCCTCATAGGCCACAAAAAATATTTTCTGGTGTTTATTTATATTTATAACCATGTAACACCCACCTTTAGGAACTTTCGACCATGTTTTATTGGTATTTCCTCATGATAAAACACTCCCAATGTATTTTTGGCTTCATGATGCATTTTTCTGTCTCAGCTGCTTCTTCCCTTTAGCTCTGCAAATTGTTTCTAAGCTATTGCATCAGCTGGACGGGGTTGTTACTACTTCACATCTGCCTGCACCTCCTCATCCAGGTAGTCTTTCGAGTCCCGATCTGTCTGGACTGTAAACACTAATGCCCAGTTTCTTTGTGTAGCTAGCAAGACATTAAATCCTCACAATTGTGAAGTGATTTTGTTTTTAATCCAGTCTGCAATTTAAATCATGTCTAGAACCCAAAAATTGAATTTTGCTTGCGAGAGAACAGGATCACTTTCCAGTCGTCCTGAAGAAGAGTCTAATTGGCAGCCATGGTTGGATTTTATTTTAAGGAGTTCTCAAACACCGAGTCATAATGTAACCGTGATTTCATAAACTACTCGTTAAACCTTCGCCAGTACCGGAATGAGTTTTCAGACGGAATACTTCTTCAAACTTGGGAATCGCTGAGTGGGTCATGATGGCACAAGTCTGCAGTCCCCGGGCCTGCAGCTGCGTACTGTTGTGGAATTTGAATGGGTGGGGGAGGAATTTCATCCAAGCATCTTATTTCCAGTTTGAAGGAATGACTCATGAAAATAACTAATATTTCATAAAAAAATATTCTCATTAGTGCCAATGGTAATATTTTATCATATATTGGGCCTATCGTTGCCCTGGAAGGTGTAAAATAGCATCATACAGGCCCTTAAACTTATGTTTAACGTCACAAATAAAACATGTATTAATAATTATTTCTCATTGTAATCAGTCACTGAGTTTTTCATGCAGGTTGAACATGAAAATAGTCCTACCTATTTCTTGGATTAGATTCTGATAGAAATTAGATGGTTAACTTTAGGATTTCAAAAGCCTGACATAAAGTTAGCCTGTAATCAACTTCTACAGCTGAAACTCCAAAAGTTTCTAAATGGATCTAAAGTTAATTTAAGTCAGTTATTCAACTTAAAAGGTGACACTAATTTATGAGAGACTCATTACAAGCAAGGTGAGATATTTCAAGTCTTTATTTGTTATAATTGTGGATATTATGGCGTACAGTTTATGAAAACCCCCAATTCTAAATCTCAAAACATTAGAAAAGGTTAAATTTTACCTGCAAGTATCTGTGTGTATAAAATAGGTTCAACAGTAATTTAAAAAGATAATATTTGCCACTGAACAGCATCAAATAGCCATGTTCAGGTATCATTAGAAAAGGTACAGGAAAGTACAAGGGAGCTGCATCCCTGGAACAAAAAGCACGGTGAGGTTTCAGGGCTCTGCCAGCAAATCTATTGGAAACACACGATTGGCTGCAGGTGTGCCTGAGGAAACCTGAGCCCTCAGACATGAAAAATGTGTCCTCTTCTTGCTGCTTTATGAACCTGCTTTTTTCAGAGGTGGGGAAAAGTGTGACTAGGAGGAGGGAAAAATAACAAAAATAAACTGTCTTATGGGCAAATGCTGAAAAAGAATTCTAGTGATCAAAGTCTTTGAGGTCAAATTAAATAAAAACCTCGTTTTCACAAACTCTTTCATTTCAAACCCATGCAGCACACTGCTGAGGGGAATTTACAAGTAAACAAGGGAGATGCAGCTCATCTGTACGTCGCAGCACCACTCAGCTCTCCTCTAAGTTCCTCACTTTTAAAACTGATGAATGGAAGCTGGATTTCTCTCTGCCACTGACATTGTGCTGAGCTACGATGGGATTTCAAAGAAAAGAGCTCATGCTGCGAAGGGCTGTAGAAAATTCTAGGCCATCAATAATTAATTAGAAACATTTAAAATTTGCCCCCATGTGGAGGATTCTGTTGGGCAAATACATAATTAGAAAGGCTGCCCCCCCCCCCCCCCCCCCCATGTAATTACAGCTTGATGCCGGAGCATCAACTCCATCCCTGGTTGAACATGCACAGTGAGGCCAATGAACTGGAAAAATGGGGTCCAGCTTTCTCGTGCCTCATGCTCGGGGTCTGTGCAGGTGAGTAAATTTGCAATCAATGCAAAAATGGCCCTGCTTCACCACTGTGGACATATACAGGTAATGAAGCTAACATGCATGAATTTGGTCAGTGAGAGGAAATCCAGAGTACTCGGAGAACACCTACACTTTCACAGTGAAAACATGAAAACTCAAAGCAGTCAGGTTTTGAACCTGCAACCTTCTTGCTGCGAGGCAATAAAGCTACCACCTTTTCCACTGTGCAGCATTATCATTGGTAATGTTTCAGAAAGTGAGCGCAGGTTAAAATGGCAGAACAATGGCAAAACACACCGGGGGCTCATGTATTCAAAACAACATGTCTCCATTATCTTCAGTCATGACCTCCATATTGTTTGTGTTGAGAAAATATAGCTTCAACATTTTTCTAAGATAAATTCCTGCTTGTAACTCTGGGTTTCTGTAGCAGATAGTTTTTGTTATTTTAGCAGCATCATCTGTCTGCTAGTGTTTTTATGTGAAGTGTATATTTGTTAGATTAGCTACTTGATGTCTGCATTTCATAAAAATTGCTGAATGTTAGTTATGTAATTCTTACCAGAGGTCTCATTTGGTAAATGGTAAATGGCCTGTATTTGATATAGCGCTTTCTAGAGTCCTGGAACCCCCCAAGGCGCTTTACAACACAACCAGTCATTCACCCATTCACACACACATTCAGACACTGGTGGTGATGAGCTACAATGTAGCCACAGCTGCCCTGGGGCGCACTGACAGAGGCGAGGCTGCTGAGCACTGGCGCCACCGGTCCCTCCGACCACCACCAGCAGGCAAGGTGGGTCAAGTGTCTTGCCCAAGGACACAACGACAGTGATAGACTGAGCGGGGCTCGAACCTGCAACCTTCCGATTACGGGGCGAGCACTTAACTCCTGTGCCACCGTCGCCCATTTATCAAACATGGCGTAGAATCCTTACTAAAACCGTACTTAAGCTCAGCAAAAAATATGTACTTACGCCAAGAAGGTTTGTGATCTATCAAACATGGAGGACGCACAGCTGCACGCAATCTCCGCTTCATAAATCGGAGACTAACGAGAAAAGTTCTCAACTGCATTTTAGTCACATCCCGCCCTCACCACGCCCACTTACTGCCATAAATAGTCAATGCAAAGGGCCTTGTGGACCTCATGCATATACATAAAACGGCTGTTGCAGCGCTCCACCAATGACATGGCGACCGTAGATCAAGGCAGACAGACAGAGGCGGATTTAGCAATTTAGGGGCCCAAGGCGAACACAGAAATGGGGCCCCTTACACTAAATTGTTGACAATCTTACCTTTAACTGGATTTGTGAAACTCTCCCCTCATCTGACATGAGTTACTTTCCCTTTTTATTAGTCCTACTATTTTGGCCTGTATCTCCCCCCCTGAAACATTTTCCATTGTCTTTCCTTTCTGCTTCATTTTGATGTTTACATTGAAAAACGACGTCACTTTCAGAAGTGAAAATAAAAGCTTTTATGAAGCATGCTGCTTCTTTCTCTTATTGGAGCCACTAGGATAACTCCATTTCATGCTTCATGTTTTGACTATCGCTTTGGGTTTGTTACGAACGCTCCCGCGTGTGGTCTTATGGCACTTGGCAAACAACAATTTGGTGCATTACCGCCACCAACTGGATTGGAGTGGAATGACTACCAATCACTTCCTGTTTGTGCATCGCCGTCTTTATAACCCTCTTATGACCATAATTATAACAGGGCCGCCTGGTATTGTTTTAATCTTATGGCTGTAAAATTGTAATAAAAAGCGCAAAGTGTGTGTAACTCTTCTCCTTTTTTTAGAACAACCTCAGCTTTCAGGGTATGGTTTGTATTTAGAATTTATTTCTATTAAAGCCTTTAAAAAATCAGCTTAAAAGTGAAAAAAGCAAAAAACGGATTAGAATTTTTTACATTTATTACCGAACAGGAACTTCAAAATTACTGGGCAAACCATTTGGAATGAACAGTTTAAACTTTGATCTGTAATGCATCTATTCTTAAAAAAGTGTGAACCTTGGTATCATTTTTAGCAGTTTTTAAGACCTTTTATTTTTTTAAACTTTCAGACGTTTTTGTTTGATGTGGTAGACCTTGAAGCAGTTTCTCTCCAGCTGCAGGCAGAATCCTGCACACCTCACACTGCCATGGGCGGCTTCTCTTGCACACCGTGCACTGCTATACCAAAAACTTTTGTTTTAGCAAAAATAATTATTTATTGTAAAAAGATAAATGATGCTGGAATGATGCTGAATCTTACAATTAGCAAATAGTTGAGGGTTGTTCAAATACAAACATTTAAAATAAAGATGGAACAATCATTCACACCCTGGTTCACTGGAGATCTGTTCTTCTTTGTGGTCACTGTCCTCAAATATAAGCCATCTGGGACACCTAATAGATTGTGTTGATTTTCTTTGAGGCATTTCCATAATTTCATGCTGGTTTTTATGCTGATTAGCTTCCCCGTTCAGTTATCCGCTTCCACTGCGCTGCGCTCCGTTTCAATCTGGCTGTACAGCAGGATTTCCATAACTCTGATTGCTTCATGCTATAGATCGTTGGAAAGCTGCTTTTATGTACTTTTAGGAACCGTTGGAATTATTTGAATCTGATCAGCCATTCAAAAGTTATAAAACGGAGCATTTTGGATGACAAACTCAGCACGTCTCTGAATCTGTGTTGTGATTTGTTGCGCTCAAGACAGGGAATCCCGGTGGCTACCGTAATGTCTTGTAAATGCACGAAAAGCCCCGTTTTTAATCTTTTCAGCACTTTTGGAATTTTAATGATATCTTGAACGGTTCAGGAATTATGGTAATGAGAAGCATGTCCAATCCCGTCTGCGGCCACAGGTTGGTAATAAGAATATTGTGGCATTAACAGAGGGGTGCCCGCAGTCAGGAATAGGGGCCCCCCAACACAAAAGGGGGCCCCAGGTGGCCGCCGACCTATGCCTAACGGTAAAACCGCCACTGAAGGCAGATCAAGGAAGCTCAATTTCACAGAAGCAGAAGTTGAGGTACCTGTGGGTGAGGTGGAGAAATGAAAGGAAGTGCTTTTGCAAAACAAATAATGAAAATCCACGGAGTGGCACAGCGTTGCTGAAGCCGTCAATGTTGTGAATTCTTCGGAGAGATCTGTGGCGGATATAAAAAAATGGTCCAATCGGGATTCGATTCCCAGACTCCCGGGTGAAAGTCACACGCACTAACCAGTCACCCAAACAGAGACCTCCCCTGTACAAGTAGCCAGGGCTTATGATCAATCAGGTCACAGTGACAGGACACACACTGTCAGAGACGCATGATGTTCTGTCTCAATCTGTCCCCCTGTCCGTATTCTGCACTTCAGGATGTGTGTGTGTGTGTGTGTGTGTGTGTGTGTGTGTGTGTGTGTGTGTGTGTGTGTGTGTGTGTGTGTGTGTGTGTGTGTGTGTGTGTGTGTGTGTGTGTGTGTGTGTGTGCGTGTGCGTGCGCACGTGTGTGGGGGGTCTTGTTCTGTGTGAAAACGAAACGGTACAAGCGATAATGCTGCGGGATTTCATAATTGTATCTTCTCAGCAGCAGCACTGCAGGTGCTCTCCATGTCCAACATGTGTGTAAGCCAGGTCCTTAGTCAGCTTAAAGTTGCGCACATTTTTCTGCTAAGTTTTCTTTCATGAATCCCAAAGTTTGCGTGGAAAGTTGCTCACGCAGTTTTCCGACCCCGTTTAGTGCGTAAGCAAGCTTGATAAATGAGGCCCCTGGTCTTTGCACTGGATGCGTAGGTGGCAAGTAACATAATAGACACACTTTCTGCTGAGGGTTAGGGTCCGTTGTCGGAACGTCAGGGTAATTTCTGGTAGGGGACATTGACCGGAAGATACGATGGCCTGGTCCTCTCAGCTGTCGTGTCTATACAGATTCAGGATTCTCAGCACTTTGCACAAACAACTGCGTCGGCCGTGAGAGGTGTTACTAATCAGCACTAAAAAGCATCCACAGTAACATTAAAATTACGTCAATCGTATCCATCTGGAGGACCAGGAGAGCTTCTGCGTGATGTAAAATGTGGCGTTCAATTACCAGAAGTGTTCTGTGAACCCCATGAATTAGATCAGTGGGGGAAATTCGAAGGCATTTTCCCACATTGGAAGTTTAATAACGGTTGTTTTAATGCAGAAGGAATGGTGCTTATTTGCTTATTCTTCCATTCTGCTTCACCAGCAACTCCCCTAATTTTACTAATGTTGGTTGTTTTGAAAGAAGTCTGCGGATGTAATTTCCTACACTCAATCAGCAGACGTTAACAAAAAGTTCTTAGAGACTCTACTGGACCTTCCTGTGTAGCCACCCCTGTTCAGGTAGTCCGTTGACCCCTGAAAATGACCCGGTAAACGGCCCGTTCGGCCAGCCCGACAAAGTGAAGACACGCGAATGCCGGGAAGTTTCAGTAAATCTACCCTGAAGCTCCAATAGTGGAAACACACCTAAATAGTCTAAAGCAATAATTTCAGAGTATTTTATTTTATTTTTTATTGACACATTTTGATGCACGTTTTCAGCTAAAGAGGAAATAAATGCATTTCCCAATTCAGACAATAACCTTCTGAAACAGTCATGATTTCAGGATTGAACAAAATAACCTTTATTTAGATGTTTTCCCCATAATCTCTAACCTCTAGTTTGGCTAAGATACAGGAAAAACAACCAGGAAACCAGGAAACAGTAGGAGAGTAAACAAGTCATATATGGAAAATAACATCCTACACCTAGAGAGGATTAGTGTGTGTGTGTGTGTGTGTGTGTGTGTGTGTGTGTGTGTGTGTGTGTGTGTGTGTGTGTGTGTGTGTGTGTGTGTGTGTGTGTGTGTGTGTGTGTGTGTGTGTGTGGTTTGTGGACTTTTGGCATTAATTTCTTACCTCATACTGAGTGATAAGACCATTAGGCTCTACAGGCTCCTCCCACTTAAGGAAGATCATGTCATCAAGTGGAGTGAAGGTCAAGGACTCCGGAGCGATGCCTCCAGGAACTACAGCAGGACAGAAAAACAACCCTGGATGAAACAAACACTCCACTTTTAGCTCTCAAACTAATGGACTCTCGCGAAGGCATGCCAGAAGGTAAAAACACGTCGGCAGAGCAAAGTGAACCGCACAATGCCGAGGAGGGATGGAAGATGGAGGATAACAGAGAGAAAGACCGGAGGGGGGTTATGAAACGAAAACCGGACAGGCTTTCTTCCAACCCTCAGGAAGATCTGAGAACCTGTCTTCTGCTGTCTGATAACAGAGCACCTTGTCTTGAAGGATGACCGTTGATGTTTCTCTTTTCGACTTCTACTGACAGAGAACAAGTAACGTAATCCTCTGAAGTGCAGAGCACCTCTCGACACCTTTTGGTCTAATGAGATGCATCCCCTTTAAGGATTCGATCAAGCTCTCTCACAAGTGGAACTGAAACTCAACACTTTTTGCTTTCTCGTCAGTTGATGACTTGGTGATATGAACTTTTTATTTTCTTTAGCATCTATGTCCGACTACTAGTTCATCAGATGAAATAATGACAGAGTCACTCGGATAGAGACAACAATGCGGCTGTATCTAATTTTGTTTGCTCATGCTGAGGCCAGCTTCTGTTGGAGGTTTCTTCCTGTTAAAAAGAAGTTTTCCTCTCCACTGTCGCTACATGCTTGCTTAGTATGTGATTTTGTTGTATGAAATTTCAATGAAACCCTTTTTCAAAGAAACCGCATGTCCTTAAACCCATTTCTTCATGTGCAGACTGTTTTTTATTTTTTGCTTTGTGTAGCCAAACTTGTCTTGGATTTTTAGTTCCTACTTCAAAGTTTTCCATCATGATGCGCCTTTGTTTGAAAATGTCCTGCTCAAAGTAGACTGATCTGTTGTTTGAGATCCAGCCACACTGCTGTCTTTCTACTGAACGTTTTAATGTTCAGCTCTTCAACCAAAATTTTAACTAAAGATCCACAACAAGGGGCTAGAAACTTAATGTCCTTCATTGATTTTGTTATGTTCATAATTAACTTGTTTACATGACAACTGCGTTCCAATAGCCGTATTTCACTATAAGACTTTAGGGAAATTTCTGGAACAGGGACAGTTACCGTCAAAATACAATGACACTGTCCTTTTAACCAACGCTTCTTCATTCAAAATCAGTCCTTTCGGGACATCAAGACATCAGTAAATCGCAACTTTGTCGGCAGTTAGTGACATCACTGATCAGCAGAGACGGGGAATTGTGGCGTCAACAAGTAACATCTCCATGCTGTGGTTTTCTTCAGCTCAGCAACTAAACCAGGTGACTTAAATGAGCACAGTGAATGGACCTGGTTCAGTTGCTGAGCAGAACAAAAACACAGCATGGAGATGACCTGTTGATGCCACAATTCCCCGTCTCTGCTGATCAGTGTCAATAGGCAACCATGAAAATTAACATTAAAAGGTTTATTCTGTGAAAGTATGTTATAATGTAATACTTTCAGATTGTTATGTAAAAAGCTGAGTTCAATGACCAGAAGATGTACTGATTTCTTTACTATGCTATAGGAGACCACAAAAGTTGGGTTATGGCGTTGGTGGGATTTCCACCATTTATTTTGCTGTTGGGATTTCTGAAACAGCTGTTTTAAAGCTGCTTATTTTCTTTTCCTTACACTCTTCCTCACCAACAACGCTTTCAATTTGCCAATGTCATTTACAACTGACCAACAACCAATCAGCGTGAGGTAACAATAAGCCACGCCCGGCGGCTCTACAGGGCCGTTTCCAAGTACATACCCCAGTTCAAGTACTTTGTTGGTTTCTGAAACGTGTTGGACAATGTTGTTTTGAAGTTGGCCTGGTGAAAGAGACACGAGCGTGCCACAGAGGTCCAGTAAAGTTACCTGGAAGTTCTGATAGTGGAAGCAGGTCTAACGACAGTGCCACTGCACACATGTTGGTCCCTCCACAGTAGAGTCAACACATCGCTTTGTCCAAAAATATCTGTTGGCTTAATTTGTACACCTCAAGGTTGCAAAAATGTTTTCTGTGCAGATTACACCAGTGACTTTGGTTTCTCCTCCTTTGCCCATCACATGACCCTCACTTTGTTTTATGTACTTATAGGGAGCCTAAGTCACTTCCACACCACGGGTCCCCGGAAGAACAAAAAATGAATGCAAGTCAACGGGGCTAAAAGAGCTATTTTCTAATCTGCTTTGCCTTACGCCCTGAATCACACACATGCTGTACTGGAATTTAAATGAAAAGTTATGATGCGTGTTTTGACCATGCCAATCACGTACTTAAGAGATTTATTAGCTTGTAAAAGTTGAATATGTGACGTCACCACATAATCTCCTCTCCCCTAGCGTAGCTGCTACTTACCACATGACCAGATTCATGGTGGTTCTTTCCTCCTGCGGGAAGTTTGCTGAACTTACAGCCATTTTCCCTCAGTTTTCTCCGTGTCTGGTTCGATGACGTCACTTTCGTGAAGCGCATTTGTAGGCTTGGACTTGTTTTCACACAAAACCTAAAATTACATCTCCCCCGTTCAAAAAGAAGCGAGTTCTTGGTATCAAAATGTGTCTTTAAAATTCACGGACATCAAATGTGAAATCATGGCACAAAACAAGCGGAATTAGACAATAGCGTTTTTAGCCCCGTTGACTTGCATTCATTTTTTTGTTCTTCCGGGGGCCCGTGGTCTGGAAGCACATGGGTGTGACTTAGGCGCCATATGTATATTCTTGCTGGTTTAGGCACCTCTTTTCTTCTTGGAAGCCAGAAAACATAAAAATGTTGCCATCCACTTAATCCCAATTCCTTGGATGAAGATGGTCCCAAAGGCAGGAATAAAACTAAACAGACATAATACCAAGTGGTATTATGGTGGGTTAAGGTCATGAATTTAGATTAGGGTTAGGGTTACTGGATTACTAGTGTCTTCATCCAGGCTTCTTTTTCCCCTCAGAATAAAAATTGAGGCTCAGGTCGGCAAAGTAGCTGAGAGGAAAATCCTGCCACACTTATGAATGTTAAACCTGAATCCTCTTTACAGCAGAGACACATCCAGTGGTGTTTGAGTGTTGCGCCCAACAGGAAACAGGCTGGAGGAACTGTCACCAGCAGCAGCTCAATTATGGTGGTGGTGAGGCTGCTGGAGGTTCCTCTGGTGACGGGGGATGGGGGGCTGTCAGACTGGCATTAGAGGCTCAAAAGCAAAACTTTGTTGTGACACTCAAAGTATCCAGTAAAGTACAAGGAAAAAAAACTGTTACAGCTTCTTTCTTTCTTATGTGTGCTTTAAGTTGTCTCTGTCTAAAGCTGTCAAATTTAATAAACGAAAATCACAACACCGTGCTAAACTCTGAATGTTATTCAGTTGATGTAAATGCACGTCCCCCTGCCTCGAAGACATCAGTGTGTAGGAGTGGATAATTAAGAGAGCTGTCTGTCCCCGCCCTTCTGCTTGATGTTTTAAGTGTTGCTGTAATGAATTAATGCAAATCAATCCTGCATGTTTAGCAGATGTTCAAATGCATTTAAATGAGGATTTAAGTAAAAAATTGCTGCCAATTGCATATGATGACAATCTTTTAATCCAGCTCTACACCAGGTTTGGAATATTCCTGAGCGAGATTCAATTACATAGAAAAGTTGTGCTTATTCTACATAACAATAAGAGTTTGACCTTCTGTGCATCCATTCATTAGGAATTTGCATTCGACTGCACCTAATCTGCTGATATACACAGGAAACGTTAACACAGAGATAAGCAAAATCATTTTACCATGTTGCTGCTGGCCATGGGCTGGGCTGATTAATGCTTCACTAGTCTCTGTTTAAAAGGCTGATCTCCCTTTTAGTTGTGCTGATCCAGCTTTTTTTTTTTTGAGTCAATATTTGTGTTTTTTCTTCCAGTAGATGACTAAAGGCGTTGATTTTTGTAGACATTGCATATAATTAAAGGAGCATGAAGGCGCAACTAAATGCAAAATGTTCTGAAGCTAACTGCACTCGACAACGCAGATCTGCATGCATAAAAACTTTCCTGCCTACTGGATGAATGCATATGAGTTGTTCGTGTTCACCAAGTAAAATGAACCTCCCACTCACCGTCCTCCTCCGTCTGGAAGGTGACCTCTCTGCTCTCCTTCTTGCCCTCTGGGTTAGCAAGTGCCAGCCGCACATGGACCGCCCGAAACGGAGGCAGGTCCCTCAGGGTAAAATGTGAAGTATTACGATCCACCGACAGGCACTCTCTGACAGTGGCGTTGTTGCCTCCGCTGCCTCCCGTTGGCATGGAATAGTGGTAGCAGAGGGACAGGGAGTAGGTGTGGCAGCGGGTGAGGTTGTAGCCCAGTGGCTCCCACTGAAGAGCCAGCTGCCGTGGCTGGATCTCCGTGGCTGTAAGGCCCCGCAAGGCACGCATGGGCTCTGAAAGAGACAAGAAGCACAAATGGAACTGATAAATGAAAAATATTAAATTGGCAATTAGTCATGAAATGTACTGATTGCTTTTTTCCCCATAAAATAGGGAATCAATCCCTCAAAGATGCAAACACGCTTCCACTTGCCACAAACTCATGTAATGGTATCGTTCACGGTAAGGCTGAGTAAATGATTGGTCACTTCCACATGCTGAACATTGTAGTGGTGAGGGTTATCCACATTATTTGTTAAATGATCAATAAGATGTGATATTCCATATAAATATCAAATATGAATCTGACTGATTTTTGAATATTAGAACTAATATTACCTTTAGGTTATTCACCTGTTCAGGGAACACACACTTCATATTAATTCAGACAGAGCCAAGGATATAGTTGGTAAAAATGAATTTAGTTGAATTTTTCATAAACTAACAATTATACATGACAAAATATGGATGAAATGATGTAATGTAAGCTAGATGTTTAGCAAAACCTTGTAAGTATCTGAGAGATGTTGTGATGTCTGGGTTGTAAAATTGGTTTGGTTGTATGGTTTAATAAACTAGAGACCATCCGACACAACCGTGCAGAGTCCACGATACCCTTTGTGTGACTGTCGCTCTCAGCTGTCCGGACGAAAGGTAGCCAGAGCGGTGATTTACCGGACGTCGTGGCCACAAGAATCCCAAAGACTCGCAGTTCCCTTTGGAATCAGATTTCCAGTCTGGCCATGAGATGCAACGTCTGAGGTGTTGTAGTGTCTGAAATCTCTCTCAAGCGTCGCAAATAGGCTTTGACCTTGGGGTCAAAAGAGAGGATGGTTCCAAATGCTTGCTCACCACTCGCCCAAACCAGGAAGCAGCTGAAGAACCCACTAGATCAGGAAGTGATCCTTGTATTTATTAAATGTTGTTTATAAATATTAGACAAATCATGATTTGACAAGTTTAAAAGGCGTTACCAAAGACCTCAGAGAATCACGCCTTCACTCACAAACGTAGAAGTTACTTCTTAGTGTGAAGTGAAAATGTTATCACACATTTATGTGACGTGAATGTTAAACCATTAATTCAACAATTATTATGAGGTGTGAATATATGGAGATTAAATTATTAAATCAACAAGTATTAATCTGGTGTCATTTAAAACCTGAAATGAATCCTTGCAGGAAAAATATTCATTTTAACCCGTCAATGATTAATGCACACATTATTAAAACACTTTGAATTTAAACATCTTGTTCATTCAGCACATTGGATTATATCAATTTATAAAGTTGTCAAGTCATTCATGATTCAAGGAAGATGAACTTAATTCAGAGTGAAGTTCTCGTCTTCTGCCGGTTTGGTTTCATCTAAAATGAAGGAATTCAGGAAAAGGCTTTATTATGGCTTCCCTGCTTGGCAACAAGGTCGTAGAGCAGTGTGTTCACTGGTTTGGAGACCAGTACAGTTAAGATGTGTCAGGACGTGTGACGCAGTTTGTGCCTGCAAGTCAAAAAGTTGACGTCTGGTCATTTTGATGAAATACTCGGCCTTTTGGTACGCTACAACATGAAAAATGTCTTTAACCCCTTTCGCCTGCATTAGTCACCGAAAAGAAAAATATTTGGTCAGAAAAAAACATTCAATGTCACAGCAGAACTTAGTATTCATGGCCCCGCCCAACTTGGCTGGCCTCCACAAGAGGCTGTAATGATGTGGTGGTCAGGTGAGAGTTGAGCAAACCTCGACTAGTACAAGCTAACCGTTAGCATTTCACCAAAGAAAGGACATTAAACAGACATTGAAAGAGTTGTACTGTTCTTAGCCAATCAGTGTTCAAGACTTTTGCATATCGTGAATATTAACGTGTAACAATTCAATCACCACAACTACAGTTTGCTCATAACTCATAAAAACAGGGTTTTTCCATTAGGACATTTTGGTGAACCTTGGTTTTAGATAGGCTAACTCATTTAGCTACCAGACAAAGATAACCCGAGTCAAAATAAAACGCATAAACGTTTTTAAATGATTTTATCAAATCAGGTGGGAAAAGTTCTATTCAGATTAATCTAGCTCTGTGTAAAACAATTATTCTCTAACCTTGATAACAACGGAGTCAAAAGTTTGTGATAATGGATAGTGAGTGTCCCACATTGCTGTGGAGCAAATTTATTCCACTGTTTGCAGAGTTATTTTTATTCAGCGACGAGGATTTTCCAGTATGGATAGTCTGTTTAAGTCCCTTCTCTCTGGAAGAGAGGAAACAAGCAGTAGAGAATCCCCGGACCACTACATGTGTATGACTGTTTGCATGATGTTATTTTATATGAATGAAGTTTTTATTCCAAATGTAACACGTATCTTATTAAAATGTCCAATATTTACTTGTTCAGTCCACAAAAGAAATTCCAAAAAGTCTTGCGGATCATGAAAAGGTTGCTGTCAAAAATGAGAATGGCCTTTGTGATGTGATGTAGGGTTAGGGTTGCACCACAAAGAGATCCCTTTGTGGTGTTTGTTATAATGTTTGTTATAATCAGTAACTTATAACTGGTTTGGAGTTAGTTATTTTTATGTTTTAAGGGAATAATTTGGTCTTTAAGAGTGCCTGTTGCTCATCCTGGAGGGGTTAGGGTTCTGAGGTTCTCAAGTTAGGACAAGGGTTCTCAAGCATCATGATGAACCATGGAAGAAAAGGACAGTTTCTTCATGAGAAATAAGGCCAATAAAGATGGTTTGAATTTGTAGCCATGTTTTTTTAATGCTTTCCTAAAAACATTTTGGTCCAACTGGGAAAAAGAACTAAAAACCAGCTGATAGCCTGCTGGAACAATACATGAGAGGAACTGAGTGTAGAAATGCAAAATAGTTCTGCCAGTGCATGGTAATTTGTAGTTTAGAACTTTATTTGTCTTGTATTTCATCAAAACTAGGAAGCCAATGTAGTTCTTGGAGGAGAAGCTCGGTCATTCGGGAGGGGCTCGGAGTAGACCCGCTGCTCCTCCACATCGAGAGGAGCCAGTTGAGGTGGCTCGGGCATCTGGTCAGGATGTCTCCTGGATGTCTCCCTGGTGAGGTTTTCCGGGCACGTCCAACCGGGAGGAGACCTGAAGGTAGACCGAGAACAAGGTGGAGGGACTACGTCTCTCACCTGTCCAGGGAACGCCTTGGGATTCCCCCGGAAGAGCTGGGGGTGTATTAAAGGATGAAGCCTAATGACTGTTGCCACGTGTGAATACTGAAATAACACATCTTCATGCCCCTGTCAAGTTGAACATCCAACTTCAACTACATGAGGGTATTTCAGTTATTTGGCCTTGCCCGGATCTCCAAGTGTACTGCAAAAACATGAGCTGAAGCAGGATGAGAGAAATGCCCTCAGAACATCACAGTGGCATCGCAGAGACGTGGACAGCTCTCAGGCTTCACAGGACGCTCTGTTGCATCGCTGAATATGGATCTCAAGCTAATAGCATACATAAACGAGGCAATGTCAGCGAGGAGAAAGCCCTTCTGCGGGAACGGGAATGGCCCTCAACTGTTTACTGGTTTGAAGGACGTTTGATCTTCCCAAAGGCACAAAACATTGTGAGCTGGACCCATTTTACTTCTGACAGCAGAAACAAGCAAAACCGTTCCCCACAGACTCAAAACATCAATCATAAATACAGAATTTAGTTATAGAAAATTGCATTATAGGAGTCTGAGAATAACTGGTTTAATATCTGATTCCTTTTAACAATACCATCTCTGTGTAGCAGTCCAATCCTGTTAAAACCAGATCTGTCACCAGGAGCTCGCCGACTGAATGTTCACTTTCTGCTTCAGACACCATTACTCATCATTACAGCTGCACCACAGCAGGCTCCATCCTGTCGGCCCTGCACGCCTGTCCTTAACCAATCCTGCCCCAAACCCACATTCTGCTTGATTAGCCTAATCAGAGGGATTAGCCAGCGGTAGTGTGAGCGGAGATGGGGAGGGGGGCTGGACAAGAGATGAGCACTGGAGGAGAAAGAGATGAGTGAGGAAGGGTGAGTGGGTGGGTGGTGGGGGGTCTCAGTGGATCTGCACATTTCATCTGATCCTCCTCATCTTTAACAGATGCCTCAGAGAGCTGTCTCTGGGCCCGCCCCCTCTTGCAAGCAGAATGGTCTTTGAGCGCACTCTCTCTTACTTAGCAGTAAAACCACACGGGCCTTGGGATGCTAACACTTGTTTGAATGGGTTTCTATCTGTATTGATTTATGGTTGTAAGCTCAGAAATCTAAATCTGTTTGGTGCCTCGTGGTTTCTCGACAACTCAATCTGATGAAATATGGGCAGATTCAAACCGAGCAAAGGAAACGCAGTTTAATTGCTTATTCCAGATCAACATCTACTTTACAAATGTGATCTGGACAGGTCGATTACAATAACTCAGTATGCTAATGTCATTGATTTAAACTGAACTGGACTTAACTGGATTTTACTGAAACTGAGTCGGATAAATAGACCACATCAACAAATGTTATCAGAACGTGTGCACAGGATGCATCATGATACGGTGGAAGACAAACAAAGTGCATAAACACGAGGAATGATTAAGATCAGGACAACTTTTACCTGCAACACTTATTCATTTACTGAGATCAATGGTCTGGAAACCAGAACAAAAGCCATGCAAGACTAAATTCTAAATTTGTAGAGATGCTTGAGCAATAAAAACATTACTGGAAAAAATTATCCACAAGCTGAAGTTATTATGAAGGAAGCTGACAGGATAACATAACTCCAGCAACATGATCTGAGACATGTCTGTCCCAGTAGTGGCTTCTTTTTGACAAATCTGTTTTGTCACTTCTGGAACAATTCCCATGTTCATTCTGTTCAGGTGATCCTTACTGCGACGATTCTGAACTTGTTTCCCTGTCAGCTCTACCCAAGCAACCTAAAATTGTACAAACGTAGATAATTTTGATCGACTGAGCACTGATCACACTTTGTGTTCTCTCTATCTAGTGTGTTTTTCCAT